CCACGACTGTGCGTCGACTACAGGAAGCTAAAGGCAGTAAAGTAGAAGGATGCGTTCCAGCTACTCCGCATAAATTATTTGTTACACCCCTCACAAGGATCATCAAAAGAAATCTTCAACGATATTCACAACATCCTATCTGAAGGCCCATCTACAACCTTGACAATGGCATTGCTACTTCGGTTGCTGTGTGCATTACTCGGATCTGGAGATTCTACGGTCTGAGAAGACAAAAGCAGAGGATATGATGATAAGAACTCGAAAAGTATCGTTCAAGGATGAGGATTTGTCAAACATCCTCGAACCCAGTTCCCAGCAGGATGAAAATCCAGATCCAGTGATATTGCCAAATGGGATCAGTGACACTGTGATCAAATGTCGTCTCAGTTGAACACAAATTCGATAACTGGTACAAGGTTGGTTCAAGGGTGTTTCTTCTCACAGCATCGACTACCTTGTGATGGCCAATGCGGGGGAATGACCAAAAGGAGCATGGGGGACGATGCCCAAAGTGTGAGGGGAGCTATGCAGTACCCTAACTATTTGCTCACCTCTTTGTCCCAACTCCGTGGGCACTTAAATCTCCGCAAATCGTACTTCCGTTTGACGGCATCGTCTCCAGACCATACCACCAGCCTTCCAGTCCTTCTCCACGTCTACCATACACATACTGTCCTAGTATTACGTCCTCACTTTACTTCAGCAGACTCGCAACGCTACTATGGGCAGCGTTTGCCAAAACCCTCAAGGGGAAGACGTCGCCACGAGGTCATCTAATCCATTTTTACACACAAATCCTCAACAAGAAAAACTTCTTGTTGGCTATGAAAACTACACTTTCCAGATGATTGCAAGAGCAAAGACAAGAGATTACTTACAACTACCCGATAAACTAGGACCGAAACAAATAATCACCTTCTAATAACTAGTCACGAAGTAGAGAGTAATTTCGCCCACACGTCGCTGTCTCCAAGCAGGAAAACTGGAGGCTGACAGCAGAATCTGCATAAGAGAGAACAATGGAAGATCATCACCACTTTGCACAATGCTTCCCACAGTAGCAGGCATCACCTTCTTGAGTGTTAGACAATCAGAAACTCGGGCGGGGACCAACTTTAGGAGTTAGGGTGGGAGACCAATTTAAACGTCTGCATGGGTTAGAATCAGGTAAGCAAGACAACTGGAACAGTTAAACAGGACCCCTTTCAGACTGTTCCGTGTGAAGCATGATTGAAACGCAGTTTTGGGAAGAGCACTCCATGAGACTAATTACACTTCCCGAGCAAATTCTCATCAGCAATACTAAAAAACTTTCCACCAATGAAAAGTTGACAGTTAGGATTAGTTTCTAGGGCTAAATAAGGTTGCCACAATAGCTTGGAGGGAATACGATGAGCTGAGTTAAAGGATGAGAGAAGCAGGAGAGCCTTAATTTGATAAAGCAATCTTTTTTAAAAATTAAGGACAGCAAGTTGATACATCAGCGAATTA